TTATACAATGTTTTTCTCTCCAAAGGACATGATGACTATGTCAGCATTCTTTGATGCTATTAAACTTCCCTTATATTTCAAAAAAATGTACTAATAATGAGAGCATCTAAAGTTCTTGCTCCTGTCTTAATTGCAATCCACTGTTTAAATATACTATTATATAGTTTTACATTACAATCATAATATTTTTAATATATTTTAATATTGTTAATATGTTTTATACCATAGTCCATGTTTTCTCTTAAAGTATTTACCACAGAAATTGAAAACACTAAGAATCGGAACCATGTCCATTCCCCAACCCTTTGCATTCTGTCCTGTATAGCATGCAACCATGCTTGTTTATTTTTAATGTAAAACTTTATAGCAGCCTTTAATCATGTCAGTCAAAATGTTCAAAGAGTAGCTTTTTTATACTCATGCTATTCAGAATCTTTGAATTAGAGTCTTTCTATGGAAAGTAAAAAGTTATTAGCCAATATTGGCAAAGAAAACAAGCCATTACTAAACATTCCTAATATGATATGAGCCTTTTAAATAGTAAAATTTGAAGCCCTAAAGGAAACTGACTATACTTACCTTTATTTTAACACAAAACTAAGTTCCCTGACGACTTTGGGACCCCAGATTGTCAGTGTATTCATTAAGCTATGTAAGCAAAGGGTAATAGTACATTGCCAGAGACCCCTGCAGTGGTCCCTGGCCTCCTGCGAGCCAGTACAGTGTCTGCAAGATAGGAAAGTGGGAATTAAAAGAAACACAGAGAGAGACTTAGACTTGGGCTGATCTAAGCGGCTATGGGTAGGAAAGACAATAAACTCCCAGGACATCCAGTGTGTGGGAAAAGGGGAAGCTGGGCAGGCCTTGGGATACCTGCTGATAAGAAGTACCAAGCAGGCAGAACTGTAGAATGAGGGCACAAGCATATCTTTGCTGAAGAGAACAAACAGTTAATTCAGAGGGGAGGAATTTAGCTGTAGTTGAGTTGACCTTGGCTGGAAGTAAACTTAGCTGATTAGACTACTTCCAGTGTAACACAGCCAGATTATGGAAGGGAAAAACTTGTGCCACTGTAGCCTGCTAATGCTAGGCAAAGGTGTCTCCTGCACAGCTGGCATTTGGGCTGCTTGATACTGTGGGGGCACAAAAAACTAAACTCTTTAAAAGCATGAGGAGTGAATCTCAGCCATTCCCAGGTTTGCAAATACAGTATTATAACATATAAGGTCTACACTTTGCAAGTATAGTATTACAGTATGTAAAGTCTCTTTACTCTTGTTTTTTTGTTTTGTCTGAGGGCTGTTTCTTCCTTGCACCACTGAAGTTGATCTTTGGTCTCAGTGCTAGTCTTGAGAATTTTCTTTTTTCTGACCATCTCACAAAGAAGTAAGCTTTACATCTACTTGTAAAAGTTAATGGATAGGCAGAAAATAAAGCTGTATTGGCTCTTGAGCTGGGCCCTGTGCAACAGTCTGCATAGCCCAAGTGTATACTTCAGTTTGCTACATAGCTTAATTAGCACTACTGTAGGGATCTTGAATCTAACATTTGAAAAGGCCCAGTATCTATTCTAAAGAGTCTATTATTTGATAACAAAGTATTATTGAGAAAGTTAAATATACTTTTGGACTACTTAAGCTGTGAAGATCAGCATGTGTGATTAGATTCCCAAATAAACTGGTTTTGGGAAGAGTAAATGCCATCAACAAAAAACAACAGAGGGAATCTGTATCAGGATGTAATACAAATAGGTTTCATGATTTGAGCAAGATTTTTTTTTCACAGTACCAGGAATTGAACTCAGGACCTTGCACTTGCCATGCAGGTATAGCACCACTAAGCTAAATCCCTGGCCCTGGGCAAGATTTAATGACTGGGTACAAATATGGTTTTGAACAACCTAATGTTTTTTGCTCTTGAATCCTGAAACTTTATTCCAGACAAAAGATGCCAAGATTTTGGGCTAAGCTCTGGTTCTGAATCTGTAATGCAAACCTGTATTCTGTATGTCATCCCTACATCTTTGAACTCAACCACTGACTTGGGCTGACCCTTTTTTCAGAGTGACTTTGAGCAATGGCCTCTATGATCTTTCTAGGTTTGCTGTTCAGTGACCTGTAGCACTTTAAACCTTTTATTTATAAAAGTTTCATGTGCTGCCTGTTTCCCCTGCTAAAATGTGAGGAATCTGGTGGCAGGAAATGTATATTACACCCCACAATATTTGGCACACAGTTATACATTGTGTGCGATGTTGGTAGGAGAGGAAAATGTAGTGTTTAACACCATGTACAGAATGATCTCGGGTCAGGAGTAGATACGATGTGCCGAACAAAAAGCAGGCCATCCTGAGTATATGAAAGATCACAGAAGGAAAGCAGGGAAGAGATTCACAGTCAAGGATTTGGACTTTATTCTGCAGATACTGAAAACTGGTTAGAGACTAGCCTGACTGAAAATAGAATTGAGACCATCTCTTGTCTACACATGAATTTGCAATGAGTTTAGTGGTATGTTCTGTTTGTTTGGAGCCACATAAAAACCTGTCTTTCAGTATAAAAGGTCACTGAATCAGACTGAAGTGATACTTTTCCTCCATAAATCTTAGAAAACTTATGGAAGTGATGGGAATGGTTCCACAAGGAGATTTCTTCCTGCGTCTGTAATGGACAATTATGGCTGTTTGCACCTCTTCTTGCTGGGCTAGGAACATTCTTCCCATGATTTCTGTTGACAGCCTGTTCCCAGATAGAAACTTGATGGAGGAAGATGAGACTAAATGGGAAAGTTTTGAAAGATTTAGAGTTTTCTGTTAAGTATCATCCAGAAGGCTTTCTGAAGGGCCTGAACTTTCTCATCAAGAAAAAGATAGACAGTGGTCAAGTTGCTTTGCTTTTTTTGATCAATTATGACAATAGATAATATGGTGGGCCTTTATATTCCTAGAATAGCTCTAATCTGAAAATCAGAAGGGACTTAAAAAATCTATGAAAGTCCATTTATGTTGCTTCAGGTGTATTATCCTGAAATGTGCAGAGGAGTATTTGACTATATTTACTTAACGTTTATAATGAATAAATCTTTCAATATTTACCTATATTTGGATAACTTTTCTATTATTAAAATTAACATCAGTATACCATAGAGGTTAAGAATATAAAGTTTAAAGCCACATTGCCTGGGTTCTACTGCTGACTTTTCTACTACTTAACCTTGGCCAAGTTATTTAACCCTTCTGCCTCACTTTCTTCATTTGTAAAATGGGGATAATTATTTCCCTCATAGGTCTTTTGTCAGAATTAAATACACTAATTTTTTGTTCACTTACTAAAGTTAAATGTCTTAGAACAGTGTCTAGTATATAAGTTCCCAATTAGCATTAGCAATTAATATATCATAAATAAAATCAATACACCTAATGGTTAATCATCCTAAGTAGTTATGAACTGAGATTGTTTATTTTTTCAAGATGTCCAGTGAAGTAACTCTTTCCTTTGACCAGAGAGAGGCAAACATTTTATTAAAAGTCAGATAATAAGATTTATGCTTTGTGTATTTTATAGATTCTTTTGTTACTTACGGATTCTCTCACTGCAAAAAGCAGCTATAGACAATATGTAAGCAAATGGGTGTGGTTATGTTCCAGTAAAATTTTATTTATAAAAACAGATGGCAAGCCCAGTTTGGCCAGCTTACAGGCCCCAACTTTAGACACTTAGGTCATATCTGAAAGGAGACTTTGGACTCCATTCACTCTTGAAGAATGAAATATAGCATTACTAGAATAGATAGTAGCTTCACTTCCTAATGATTATTTACCGTGTGCTCTGTTATCATGGTTATACTTTAGAATATCCAAGGAATATAGTATATAGAAGTTACTTGGTTACTTAAAGGTTTGGAGGATATTCTTGGCACTTGAAACCTGGGTTGTGGAAGGAAGCTAAGGGTTTTATTAAATGCATACACACACTCTGTCTTTCTCTAATCTCTATAAAGGAAAGGTTTGTGAGTCCAATAAAAAGCTATTTGTAATTGTGCTTGTCATTACACTAAGGGTTTTTCTTTTAGGCTGTTTGCAAGGATTTGGATGTTTATGGCTTAGTTTTAAGTTTAATAATATCCTCTTGTTTTTAAATTAAACTTGTTAGCCTTCTTGTAAGTGGGTGACTATGTTGGTTAGTATTTATAGTTTAGGTCTGAGGAAGTGACTAAAGTCTCTTGCATTTATTTGATCAGCACTGCAACAAAGAACATCTTTGATTTGTTTAATAAAGGCCTATGATAAAAACTCAAAAAGTCTAATGGTTCATGTTTATAAATGTTTTTATGTATTTGGTCCTTCTTAGGCCAAATAATTGGGGCTCTATGCTAAGGAAAGGACTGAATGTATTCATCGCCTCTCAGTTAAGTTAATTCCTCTGGAGCAAATTCAGACAATGGTTATTTCTCATCGTCTGTCTTTCTTTCTTTCTTTCTTTCTTTCTGCATTTTGCATGGTTTTGGAGTTGAGTGTTAAAGAACAGAGGGTTTTTTTTTTTTAAACTTTTCAGAAGTTTTCTCGATTCTCATTTCTGTCCAGTCATCCAGACCTATGTCCAGCAAAGAGTCTGGTGGGCTTTGAGCCAGGGCCTGGGAAGTAACTGACTGGAAGTGAGGAAAGCCATTATGTCATGTCCTCTGCCACAGCATCTCGCTCTCCATGTGCCTTAGACATTTTGTATTGCTATAATAAAATATTTGAAGCTGGGTAAGTTTTAAAGAGAATAGGTTTATTTTGACCTACAGTTTTAGAGATCCAGGACTATGTCGCCAGCATCAGCCTCTGTAAGTGCTTTATGGCAGATGGCTTCATGTGGCAAGAACATGTACCAGGGAGAGAGGGGATGAGAAGAGGAAAGTGCCAGGCTCACCCTTTTATAACAGCCAGTTCTCTTGCAGGCTAATAAGCTACTCCTTCAGTACTTCACCCGCCTTGACTGAGAGACCAGCATTAATCCCTTCATGAAGGCAGCCATGATCCAGTCACCCTTCTCTAGGCCTCATCTCTTACAGGTTTGAGTACCTTTTGATACTACTACAGTGGGGGAACAGAGCTGATTGTTTTGCAGCCCTACTGTAAAACATTTAGGGTGATTGACTCCTCAATAGTTTCAGTAGAAGGAAGTAGCTATGCTCTTACATCATACTGCTTTCTAGGACTGGCCTTAACTATATATATGAAAAACATGTTCATGGCAGTATCTCCTATTTAACTTAGAGACACCTTGCTTTCTCATTTGGATGGAGGTCATTATGGGGAATTTTAGGAGTGATCACCTCAAAAAGCAACATTTACTGTTGCTACTCTTTAAACTCTCTTTTATTACTACATCATTATGGCAATACATGTGCCCCATATATGCTGATGAAAATTTTTCCTAGGTAGAAGTTGTTTAAGAGATATGGGAATCAGAAATGCAAGTCTAAAAACAAATGTATGTGTTTGTACATATTATCTAGGCACTGTGCTTACTTAGAACAAAATACTAAATTAATTGCAAGCATTCCCCCCTCCCTTTTTTTTAACTCGACCCACCATATCTGCAGACTGTGTATCTGTGCATTGAAAATACTCAGGAGAAAACATTGCATTTGTGCTGAACATGAACAGAGTTTTCCTCATCAGTATTCCCTAAACAGTATAATTACTATTTACATAGCATTTACATTGTTATTTTTTACAATTTTTGTTGATACATGTTTCTAGTACATAATGATTGTATTCTTCATGGGGAGTTGGTACATATGCATAACATTTCTTAATTCTTTTTTTTTAATTTGGTACTGGGGATCAAACTCGGGACCTTGTGCTTACAAGGCAGGTGGCAGAACCACTGAGCTAAATCCCCAGCCCTCTTAATTTTTTTAAAATTCCCCCTCTCTCTCCCCCTCTGCGTCACTTGGTCCTTTTCTCATTCATATATAGAAAGAGCCCACCAAAAAATGTATATATCAGGAAAAGAAAAACTTGTATAAATACTTTAATACTAATTTATTGAGACATCATGAGACCTGTTACCTTTGGCCTCTACAATTACAGCAGGTGCTCAAAAAAGGTAGGCATTTAAGTATGGTGAATTGCTGAAGTATGTATACTTTTTTGGTGGATTCTGTATGTTCTTTTTTTTAAAATACATGTTTGTAGTACATAGCAATCACATTCCTCATAGGGACGCAGTGCATGTACACAACACTTTACAATTTCTCCCACCCCTTTTGTAATTTCATTTTCTTTCCCTCCCTTCCCACCCCCATCTCTCAGTTCCCTTCCCATAAGTCAAAGATCCAGCTCGATATTTCCTATTCTGTTTTTTTTTTTCACTTTATTTAGACATTGAGTTTCTCATATAAGAGAGACCATGTAATATTTAAGCTTTTGTGTCTGATTTACTTCACTTACGGTAACATTATGCTGTGAGGGTATACCTACTTTCCTACGGATGACTAGTTTGTCCTCTTTATGGCAAAGTAATACTCCATTTTGTGTAAATACCACCCTTTCTTTATCCATTCATCTGTTGATGGACATACAGTCTGATTCCAACATTTAACTATTGTGAATTGTACTACTAAAACATGGTATACATGTAGCACTGTAATATGTCTTTAACTCTGTCAGGATGATACCTACAAGGGGAATAGTTGGGGCAAATGGAACTTCTAATATTAGTTGTTTAAAGAGTCTCTGTACTGATTTCCGTAGTGATTGTACCACTTTACACTCCCAACAAGAGTGAAGAATTAATTTTTCCTGGCAGCCTGTCCAACATTTGTTATTATTTTATTTCTTGAAGGTAGATAGCTGTTCTTTCTGGATGAAATGGAATCTTAGTGTTTTAATTTGCATTTATGTTGAACACTTTTTCATATATTTATTGTCCATTTATACTGTTTCATCTTCAAAATGTCTGTTCATTTCAGATGGACTTTTTTATTGGGTCTTTAAATTTGGGAGATTTAATTTAATTTTTCTGAGTTCTTTCTGTAGTCTACATATTAGTCCTTGGGCTGAGGAGTAGCTGACAAAGTTTTTTTTCCATTCTCTAGGGTGTGTCTTCACTCTGTTGGTGGTTTTCCTTTGCTGTGCAGAAGCTTTTTGATTTGATGTGATCCCATTTGTTGATTCTTAGTATTATCTCTTATGTAACTGGGATTCTGTTCAAAAAGTCCTTACCTACTCCAGTGTCTTCAAGAGTTTTACTTAAGTTGTCTTCCAGTAGATTAAATGTTTAAATTTTAATATTTAAATCTTTGATCTACCTTAATTTTTGTTTAGCACATGGTGAGAGATAATGGGTCTAGATTCAGTCTTCAGCTTGTGGAGAGCCAGTTTTCCCAGCACCATTTGTGAAAGAGGCTCTTTCTTCCAGTGAAAGTGTTGGGCCCCCATGTCAAAGATGAGGTAGCAGAGTGTACCTGCAATTGTTTTATATCCTCTGTTTGGTTCCATTGATGCTCAAATTATGTTTTTGCCAATACTATGCTGTTTTTATCCCAGTAGCTTTGGCGTATAACTTGACATCTGGCATTGTGATACCTTCTGCCTTGCCTTTGTTGCCCAGAATTGCTTTTACTATTCTGGATCTCCTCTGGTTCCATGTGAATTTTAGTATTATTTTCTCTAGTTCTCTGAGGAAGGCTATTGGTATTTTAATCAGTAGTGTGTTAAATCTGTGTAACTGTTGAAAGTATGGCCATTTTTACTATTGGTTTGTCTATCCAGGAGCAGTGTGTATCATTCCATTTTCTGATGTGATCTTTGATCTCCTTTTTCAAAGTACTATAGTTTTCATTGTAGAGGCCTTAAACTTCCTTGGTTAAGTTAATGCCTAAATATTTCATTTTCCCTGATGTTAGTGTGAAAGTTATTGTTTCCCTAATTTTCTTATGGGTATACACAAAAGCTATTGATTTTTGAGTGTCAATTTTGTTTTGCTACTATACTACTGAATTAATTGTAGGAGTATTCATTGTAGAAGTCTCTTGATGGAGTTTTTTGTGTAATCTATGTAGAGGATCAGATCATCTACAAATAATAATGATATAACTTCTTCCTTTCCTATCCATATACCTTTTATTTATTTTATCTGATAGCTCTGGCTGTTGTTTCAAGAACTGTATTGAATAGGCTTAGTGAGAGTGGACATCTTTGTCTTGTTCCTGATTAAAGGGAAAGCTGTTAGCTTCTCTCCATTTAATAGGATCTTGACCATTGGTTTCTCATAGATGGCTTTTTTTTTAGATTGAGATAAAGACCTTCTGTACCTATTTTCTTCAGTCTTTTTATTGTGAATGGCTGTTGGATTTTGTCAAATGCTTTTTCTCTATCCATTAAGTTGATCGTGTGATTTTTTTTATCCTTGCTTCGGTTTATGTGGTGTGGTATATTTATTGATTTGCATATGTTGAACCATCCCTGCATCCCTGGAATGAATCCTACTTGGTCTTTGTTTTTTTGTTTTCTTTTGTTTTTTGTTTTGGTACTAGGGATCGAACTCAGGACCTTGCACTTGTGAGGCAGGTGGCGGGAACACTGAGCTAAATCCCTGGCATTCTTGGTCTTTTTTTGTTCTAGCCTTTTCTGGATTTGCCGCGAGGGTAATGCTTGCTTCAGTGACTGAGAGTATTATTTCCCTTTCAGTTGCATTAAAGAGTTTAAGGAGTTTTGGCATTACATCTTCTCTGAAGTTCTTATAGCATGAACTTCAGTGAATTCATCAGGACCTGGGCTTTTCTTAGTTGGTAGTTTTTTTGTATTACTTCTTCAGTTTCATTATTATGCTATTAATAGCATTTCATCTTTATTATTCAGCATCTTTATACCTTCTTGGTTCAATTGTGGTAGTTCACGTATATTTAGGAATGTATCCATTTCTTTCTCTTTTTTTTTTTTGTTTGTTTGTTTGTTTGTTTTTTGAAACAGGGTTCTCACTATGTAGTTAAGACTGACCTGGAACTCACTTTGTAGCCCAGGCTGGTCTCGAACTCACAGCGATCCTCCTGCCTCAGCCTCCCAAGTGCTGCGATTACAGGCTTGCGCCACCATACCCGGCTGCATTTCTTATAATACAAGTTCTGGAAGTAGTTAACAGTGATCTTCTGGATTTTTGCATGATCCATTGTGATTTTGCTTTGTTTTCCCCCTAATGACATGATTTGGGCCTTGCCTTGCCTTTTCCTTTTCGTACCAGGAATCAAACTCCAGACTTTGCACTTGTGTTTGTGAGGCAGGCATGGTGCCACTGAGCTAAATTCCCAGCCCTGGGCCTTTTCTTTTTTGGGTAGGATTGGCTCAGGGTTTTTGTTACATGTTCTTTCAAAGAACTAACTTTTCAATTCATTGAATCTTTTTTTTTTTTTTTGCTCTCAAATTTATTATTTTTTCACTTGGATCTTGCGTTACAATTGTTTTGATGATTACCTGATTTTTTCATGTCCAGTCGTGTTTGTTTTATCTTTTCCTTGTGAATTGTTCCCTTAGCCAGTATTTAATGATCTTCTTTGTCTCTTCTGATCAATTTTGGATTGAAATTAGGATAGTTGCTTTGGCTTTATGGGTTCCCATGGCGTAGAGTATTGTTTTCCATTCTTTTTAAACTGAATTTCTTTTTGAATTCAGTATCTTTCTTGTATACTGCATAGCATTTAATCTGTGTCTTTTGATTGGGGAATTGAGGCCATTCGTATTGAGAGTTATTACTGAAAGATATTGAGTTATTCCTGTCTTTGCATTATTTTCTTTTTGCTAACGTCTTTTACCTTTTTCTTAGCTGCTCATCCCACCAGGTGTGGTGTATTCATTATTTTTGACTTACTGGGATTTTTGGCTTTATCGTCTCTTGCTAGGATATCCTTGAGAATTTTTTGTAATGTTGTTCTATTGGCCTTGTTATTAAAAATACCTTATTTCTCCATCAGTTTTGAAGGAAAGTTTTGCAGGATATATGTCACTGTTCGAAGTTATCTTTTAGGGCTTGAAACATTTCACTCCAAGCCCCTCTGACCTTTAAGTTTTGTGTTGAAAGTCTGTTATAATTCTAGTGATTTTACCTTTTGTGCCATCCACCCCAGGGGTGCTGTAGTTTGAAATCATTGTTATTTCTATATTTATATCTTTCAGTATAGGAGATCTCATATGAATCAGTTTTCTAAGAACATGCAAGATTTGAAGAGCTGAAAAAAAAACAGCAATAAATCTGTTTTTTCAAACTGTAAGTAGACTTACCACTCTCCTTCACTCATTTCTTAACATCTTCAAACTTGTAGCTACTGTTCTGTAATTATCTTAGTTACTTTTCCCTTGTTGCTGAGACAAAATACCCCACACCCATAGTTAAGTTGGGAAAGGTTTATTTGGCTCACAGTTTGTAGAGGTTTCAGCCCAAAACTGGCTGGTTCCAAGGCAGGGTGGCTTGGCATAGGTGCCTCACAGAGAACAGTTCATGATGCCCACCTGGTAGCAAAACTGACAAGGGACCTTAACAGCGTCTTTCTGCCACTTTTACCATATCCACTGGGATTAGGGCAATGCCAAACTAATCAGTGTACTGATTCGGTAATCCCATGCCCTCAATCCTAACATCACACATTCTAGATCCATTCACCTCTGAAAAAGCCCTATGACCACATGAGGCTTTGGAGGGACATCTAGACACAAACCATGACAGTTTGTGTATAAATAGCCTTGTTGTTTCACCTATGAGAATTTATGACCCCCACCTCTTTAGTTTTTAATTCTAAAAGTAGTATTAATATGGGAAATTATATCAGGACCTCCAAGTATAAGGAAAATATTATAAATCTCAACTTGTTAGTTGGAATGTCAGCACCTCTGATACTCCAAGTTTGTGTTCTCTAAATTCACAGAATGAATTCTAAGAACAGTGGAGGTTAAGAGTGGGAAATGTGTATTGATAGGATAACTCTTGAGAGGCAGGAGGGCTCCCAAATAGGTAGTCAAGAACCCCACTTTTCAGAGGAAGTTTTATAGAGCAAAAACCACACAAGTACAACATGGATTACAGCTATGATTAACCAGTAAGGTTACAAGTATAGTCACTTAGGTAATAGTGATCCAGTGGGGGAGCAAGTCACATAGCAAGTGTACGTGGAAAGAAGAGACTTTTTCTAGGAAATGGTGGGTCTGGAGGTCTTGGTCACCCATTGGGGTGACTGATGTCTATCTAGATCTCATTAAGCCAGGTGTTACCACCTATCTTGTTCTTTGGAGAAGTATGCAGGCCTGGTCATTTTGTGTTTTTCTATTTTACACTGGCCATCTTTTGCACAAGGATCAACTGCCTATAATATTTCTGTCTGACTTAGCTGTCTATAATAGTGTGACTAAAACCATTGGCTTCAGGATTTAGAGATGTGGCAGTTAATGAGCAAATCTTTATTTGTCACTAAAAAGGGAATTACAGGCATGGTTACGTATAAAAAGTATCCTCTCTCTTTTCAATCCCTTTGTTGTTCTTTAACTTCATAGATCATTTCAGCACCTATTGGGCTAAGAAAATGAGGTGGTAGTCTTCACAGAAACTGATTTGCTCCTCTTCCCCATTCTTACTCATTCATTACTATTATTGGCCTTCTAATGAGTGATAAACATTTGATTAATTCTATTTAGTGCTCATTCTATAAATGCTTTTTCTAAATGCTTGTCTTGTGGCAACTTTGCAAACTAGGCCTTACTATGTCAGTGATCCAGGTGAGGGCCAGAGAGAGGGAAGGAACATACTTCATGTCAGCTGAACACTAAGATGGAAAGGGTGCTGCATGAATTCTTCCAATTTGCCATGCCCTCACTACTGTTTAAATGCTCTTTCTGGCACAGATGTCAGTAGGAAACTGATCATCTGGGTTTTTTTAACTGGAATGTGATTCTAATTCTCCTAAACTTTGTAGTTATAACAAGGATGGAAGTTAGAAAAACCTCTTCTCATATTTGACATAAAGCTTTGGTACCTGGATGAAGAGTTAAGAAATCTCTTGCGCATTCGAGAGATGCAGATGAAAACAACGCTGAGATTCCACCTCACCCCAGAAAGACTGGTTGCTATCAAGAAATCAACCAATAACAAATCCTGATGGGGTTGTGGGGAGAAAGGAACCCTTTTCTGTTGTTGGTGGGAGCGCAGACTGGTGCAACCACTGTGGAAATCAATCTGGGGATACTTCAAAAACTAGGATTAGAGGTCCCATTTGACCCAGCTATCCCTCTGCTGGATATCTTTCCAAAAGAATTATATACAGCGTTACATGCTCACCCACATTCATAGTGGCACAGTTTGCAATAGCTAAAACTTGGAAACAGCCCACTTGCCTGTCATCTGGAGACTGGATAAAGAAGGATGTGGTTTTCCTATTAAATGGAGTACTACTCAGCCATAAAGAAGGAGAAACTAGAGACATTTATAGCTAAATGGATGCATATTGAGGCCATGCTCTTAAATGAAATAAATAGGACACACATGTACATACCAACTAGTTTCTCTGTGAAAAACTAAAAGTGTAAATAAGTTCAAACTGTATAACTGATAATGTGAAATAGGAAGAAAAGGGCCAAAGGAGGGGAAGTAGGAAGGGTAGGGGAAAGGAAATAAGGGAAAATAAAATATATGAGAAAAGGAAAACATGAAAACAAAGTCTTTGTAAATAGGGAAGGGAGGGCAGGGGAATGGGGAAAAAATAAAAACCAAGATACACCATGTAAAGGTACAAAATCCCAATGATGAATGTAGTTGTATTGTATGCCTAAAAAGTACCAATAAACTTAATAATAATTAAAAAAAGAAATCTCTTGCTCACTTCCAACCCTTCCATGGATTTTTTTCTGTGCTCCCCGGGAAATGATTACTATTAAGCCAGTGTGGTAGGATATGGTGGCATGGTAGAGCAGATATTTTCAAGTGGATGGTTCCATAGGCTCTTTATGGAAGTGCTTATGCATGAAGAAAAACCCACATCATTACTGGGTGGCTTGATGCAGTAACTTTTACAAAGTTTCAGCACCTGTGTCACCAGCACCTCAACTTACCAGTGCCTAGGAATCGTCCTCCCTTCCCAGGCATAGCCAGTATCTTGGTTTCTAATGCCTTTGGCTAGTTTGTCTGTTTTTTAAAATTAATGAATGGAATCAAATAGTCTGTGTTTTTTTGTATCTGGCGTATTTTAAAATTATGTCTGAGAAATATCCATCTATGATATTGCATATAGTTTGCTTTCTTCATTGTCTTTGTCCTAAAAGTATTTAATTATGTATCTGTTTTATGGTTGCTGGACATTTAATTTTGGGCGTATTACTGATAGTGTTCTAGTTAATATTTTCATGCCTGTCTTTCGATATTGATTGTATTTTGTTTAGGGATTACTCATTGTAGGGGAAAATGAAGCCTAAGATGCTACACTTTGGTTCAGGCTGTGGGGGGTGATTTCTGATGGATATTAAGTCCAGGTCAGTAAGATTTTGGCACAAGCATGGCTCATGGGTGTCAGTGTAACGTAAATAACCAATATAACTTAGGTCAACGTTGGCCATGTAAATGACTTATATAACCAGGGTAGTTACTGGCACATGGCCACTATTGTGTACTGTAGTTTGTTGCAAATGTAGACTGCTACAAGAGCTGGCAAGAGACTGAGCAGCTGTGAACCCCTGTGGGGATGGGCCCGCTAGAGGTATGAAGACTGCTCCCCAAGTACACTCAGCTGAGCAGCAGCTGAGAATACAGGCATGCTCAGACATTTCCATGACTCTGTGTCTCTTCTTCAGGTTGCCCATATCACACATGAACCTCACCAGTCTGCACTGGTGACAAGGTACTCCGTAACTCAGAGTTGTGCTGAGCTAGACTTCTCTGAAAGCACAGGAGTTGCTTTTCACTACCGACTGTGTTGTCTGCTTCCACAGGATGTTCTAAGCGTCCTTTCTCATCAGGAACAGATGAGGCTTTCTTCAGTTATTCAGAGTGGCCAGGTTGAACTCTGTCTAATGTGTGTGTGTGTGTGTGTGTGATGTGCTGTTCCTTTAGGGTTCAAGAAAGAATTACAGAAGGGAAGAAAGAAGAGGTCTTAAAGGAGAGATGTTTTGGGGCTGCCCTAGAAACTGGCAGGATATCTATAAACCAGATTAAGAACCTGGGAAAATAGCAACAGAAGGAGGGTCAAATTATGAGCCCTGGTATTTTAAAGAGGTGACTAGAGAAATTAAAATTCAGTTTAGCAGTTTTTGAATTAATTGCCATGATTTCTTTGTTTTAAGGAAATCTTGAAAAGGTCCTTAAAGTATGAATCTTAAGCCAAGAATTATTAAACCAGAAAAACAGAATGCCTGTTTTAAACAAATCGGGGAGGTAAGGATGTAGACTGCTATGAGGAGGTTCTTTGCTCATATGTAGCTCCACCCTTTTTCTGCCCAGAACCTCTGTTGGTTGGCTTTCTCATCTGTGAAGTGGGAGTATTAATACGCACAACCATGCTGTGTGTTGTAAATTAGCTCTGACAGTTCACTGCAGTAATGTCAGCAGTGTGCCTCTGGGCAAGCACATGGCACCGCCACTAAGATCATAGTAGGCATTCTTGGCATTTTTCTCTTTCTTGTTTCTAAAATCACCTATGTGACTCTGTTAATGATACCTTATAGAAATTTTTTATTTTTATTTTAAATGGTAAACAGTAACAAAAATATTTCCCTACTTGGTTCACCAACTGAAACTCTCAAAGGAAAAATGAAAGGAAAGACTTGTTCATCTGTCCTTGGAGTGTCCCAGTATTGCTCGAGCTGTCTCTCTTTGTTAAAGGATGTAGATATTTCTTTGTAAATTGTATAAGCAGGCATTGCATATACACACATGGCATAGTTGGATTATGGACGTCACATTGTAGTCAGACAGTTGAGAGTATCCAAATGAAAACTGGACTTTTTTTGTTGTTCATATGTTGAAGAAGATATTTATTAAAAGCAATATAAGCATTAAAATTAAGTATTTTAAAAGCAGTATTTGAAAATTAATATTAAAATTAAATATTGGACTAAGTGGGATTAATAAAATAATAAATACAAGATAGTGTTTTGGTTTAATTTACATTTAGTTTCTGATTTTTATCTCTTAGTTCATTCTAGTATCAGGAAAGAAAGTATACTGTATCTTTGAATATTTGTACTTTGAATCCTTTCCCATACTCTGGTAACTGGCAGATGGATGATATA